CCTGATGCTAATTCTTCATATTTTAAAAAGCATGTAAAAGGAAACATCCCAAAATTCTTCATACCTTATGAATTTATAAAAAATATTCAGCTGAGCATTTACAGCCTACATCATTTACAGCCTACACCATCCCCAAATCAGCCCTCATAGCAATCTTCGGCCAACACCGAACTGCAGCAATTTTTGTTCAAACGGAATGTAAAGAATTCTAATTTAATTTTGCTTAGAACAGCTGTACAACTTCGTGCATATTCTTGTGCACGAAGAATAAAATTAATAAGGCAATTCAATAGGAAGATATGCATTTAGGTATTACACTGAAATTTATAAGTGCAATGCTTTGTGCTGTTAACAGTTCAAGGAAAGTGGATATAAAAAAGAACAATGGAAGAAACAAGAAAACTGACTATATGTTTAAGGAATATTGTTCACGTCAAGGTGAAACAAAGTACAGAGTTCTAGAAAGGCAGATTTCTTATGAAAGCAGGATAATCTCATTTTAGATGAAGGAATTCGATAGCTAGTAAACGTTTTCAGTGTTGCAATAGACGCTTGCTGTTTTGTCCTTGAGAGAAATTATTTGAATAGTTGGTACTATTCTGCTTTGAGGGCCGTAAAGAAATTGCAGCGAAAATGTATGTGCAAAAGCGCCAAATCTAGCAAACGCGCCCATTTAACAGCGCGCCAAATCTAGCATACGCGCTAATTCAGATTGCGTAAGTTTTTATAGTTCTATATTTCTTAAGACGCCATTGAAATACTAGTTTAATTTTTAAATACTTTTTTGATTTTAAATCCTTTTTTGATATCCTATGGATTTAATAATTTGGGAACCCTTGACATTATCTATGTACACATCGACCTATTTTCACTTAAAAAGGTAAAAGAAAATTGACAAAAATCCAATTGTTTTTACCCTTGTAAAAAGCGGCGAACAAATAAGTGAGCGATTCTGCACTTTACCGAGAATATTTTCAAAGAAAAGGCATCATTCATTATAGAAAATTACGTTTAAAAACAGCGAGATGAAATTATGCTTTAGCGATAAGTCGGTAGCGAAATAGCGATGCAGGCATCCATTCAGTTATGTTTAGCAGTTTTTATATAAATTATAATATTGACCTGAAATAGTTATTTACTCTTATGCTTCCATTCAGTCATGTTTAGCCTTTTTCATATAAATTATAATAATAAAAAAGTATTATATGAAATTAACCTTTCATCTAAATTAAAACATCAATCTTAGATAGTTATTTACTATTATACTTTCTTTCTTGCCGCAATTATTAGGGTTGCCGCAATTATTTTTGGCAGCATTGGCATAAACAATAGTTTGGCGATTTTTTACGGCCCTCGAAACCGAATAGTTAAATTATTGTTCTGTTTTACTCATGGCTATTCGTGACATTAAGAATTTGTCAAAAAATAAGGAAGATCTTAATAGATCTGTAAGTGTTCTGAGGGAAAAAAATTCAGTGGGTCAAATTTTGTTGGTGAATTTGAAGTTACATCTCGCATGCTGATAGCTGCTAGCAATCCTTCAGTATGCATGCGAAAAGAAGTTGGAAGACATTTTTTTCATATAATTAGTCAGTTACACTGAGAATCCATTTCTACTTTCCCTGCGTCTATAAACTTAGAAGGCTTTCAAAGCTAAAGAATTATTTACGAATTTCATCGAGAGAGGATTGTGATTGGTGTTTTTTTCTGTAATCAGAGAAGAACAGCAAATTGTATACTTATTGGCACTGACATGTTAATTAAACCTTACTGCTTTAAAAGAAAGAAATAGTATACAAAAGTAATGTAAAAAAATTACCTAGAGGCTATAAAGAAAAAGAAGATGTGTTTTTATGAAACAAAATTGTCTGGATAAAAGACAAATCTTAACAAAAGAGATAAAAGGTAATTTTGAAATATTTAATAAAACTATCCTGTAAATATTTATAACACAGTACTATAAAATCAAGAAAAGCGAAAACGAACTGTGCTGTTAAATATAATACACTAGGGTAAGCTCATTTGTTTGCCCGTTCTGAAATTCTACAGTTTGAAATTGCTAAAAGTGTTGTAATTTTTAATTTTGGTAAAAAATATGGCAAATTTTTAGGTTTGCTTTATTGGAAATATTGTGATTTTTCAACAATTGAAATGAATATTATGCTAGTGCTGCATTTTTATTCTTTCAATACATTTATATACTGTGTGGCTAAGCAAAACTACATTATTTTGAAAATTGCTATTAGACGAAGATATTACATTATAAGAATATATTTAGTCTAGTGCTGCTAATTTAGTTCTATAATCTTAACAGACATGTAGCGAGTTACCGCTATGTATGAGATAGAACGACAAAGTCTTGCGAAAGTTTAAAAACAAGCTTTTCATTTAAACAGAATTTTGAATATAAGAACCTGACTTTGTGCTTACAAATAACCACAGTTTGTGAAAATGCAAATAAAAACAAGAACACTGTTCGGATTGAAGGTTGATCCGTAGTCAAAGACTACACAATTAAATACTAAGCTATAATCTAGCTGAATAAATTACCGGGGCGTAGTTTTAAGTATGGACGGCCCGAGAGAACGCATAGCCGAGATAGTTACAACTAGCTAGAGCTAGCAAAATCTATCCACGTAGTGCGCAATTCAGAAGCACTCGCTCTCAAGATCCAGAAACCTCACCTAAATACACAACCAGCTAATTTGCATTCTGGTGAGGAATACTGAAAGTAAAGTTAAAGCAAAGATCTAAATCATAATAGCTGGTTACTTTATTACAGCATTAATACCGATAATTTTTTCTTTGAAAATAAATGGTTAGTGATAAACAAATTCCAAAATAATCTAACCGTACCATAGAAAGAAAAATTTTAATTTTCCCTACATTTGAAAAAAGAGAAAAGGAATAAAATACTAAGTTTTTAGAGTAGCCATTTTTGCATTATTCATTTTCTCTTTTTCCAAGTGTTAAAATACCTACAGGGAAAATTCTGAACACATATGAGATTCGATCCTTCAGTTTTAATTGATTTTCAATGTTTTTATTGAAAATTTAATTGAATCTTTTATCAGTTTTTGAATTCAAATGATTGAGAAGAACGAAACACGTATTAGAGACACATTAATCGACTTTTATGAAACTTTAATTCATTTTACCCTGAGGAGTTCTGAATTTGGGTTTCAGACAAAGGAGATTAATTTTTCTTTTTTTCTTTTACCAATTTGCGTTTTTATTTTTCGGGTTGATTCTACAGATGAATTCTTATATAATTTTGATTTAGCTATAATGTTAGACCTTTCATCCACGGTTGCAATTATTAATATTATTAGGGAACTGCCTTATTTTGATTCCAATTTAATTTTAATTTTCGATGCTTTAGGTTCATATGTATATATATATTTATACGTCTGTGTATGATGGTGTGTATGGTGTTATAGATGGAATAGGGAACCGAAGCGTTCTGAAAAGTTTTATTTAGATTTCGATGCAGTAATTGAGTTGATATCACAATGACGTATAGTTTAAACTTGAATCTGCAGTGACTGAAATGTGCATTACAACGGGAATAAACATTCATGAATAATTTATTGATAATCAACATATTATATGCATTTTTCTGAAAAAAAAGGGTGGAATTTCAAGGACGAAAATTTTCTGAATTTAAACATATTCCGTAAATAACAATATTTTTTTAAAAAGAAATTTTCATTTTTCTCTTGTTCTTTCAGCATTCGTTATTGTCATCCATACGAAATGAGTACTGCTATTCACAATACTGATACCAGCTGTTATTTTATAAATGTTGAAAGCAATATGCAAATGAACGTATTTCATCCGAACTAATTGGAGTTATTTCGAATAATACTCTTTTTATACAATTCATGTTCAGGTTCTTTTTTAGCTAAATAAATATGAAAATGTTATTATTTGACATATTTTGTTTCGAAAATTATGCTTATTTAAATATGTTTTGCATAAAATAGGATTCAAAGTTTCTGTTTTAAATTTTTATTTTCATTTAAATAATTTATACAAAATAATATATGATGCTAGTTAAAAGAAAAAAAAATAATTACAGGTATTATATTTAATAATATTTATCTCCGATTGTATCGGGAAAGCGCACGGTAAAAACTAATAGTATTGTTGCGTGCGTACGTGTTCGTAATAGATTGAACGCCCACAGAGCCGATGATGCTTCATAAAATTTATTTTTCCAAAAGAAAAACTTTACACTTCGGGGATTTTCCACAAAAATACCAGTACCGCTGCTCTCAGTATGACAGTAGTAGAATTTGCATTTAGGTACTACACTGAAATTTATAAGTGCAATGCTTTGTGCTGTTAACAGTTCAAGGAAAGTGGATATAAAAAAGAACCACAGAAGAAACAAGAAAACTGACTATATGTTTAAGGAATATTGTTAACGTCAAAGTGAAACAAAGTACAGAATTCTAGAAAGGCAGATTTCTTATGAAAACATGAATAGGTTATCGCATTTTAGATGAAGGAATATATAATCCCCCTTTTAAAGGGCAACTGGAGATTACCAATCCTAGTGGTGGAGCATCATCATCCACCACCCTTTTTAGTTCGGGCGCTACTATAGAAAAGTAGGTTATTTCGAAGCAGGAGAGATGGAAAATGAGCAATGCCCAAACCGGGAATCAAACCACGCACCTCTCGAATACGCGCCGAGTGTGCTGACCACTACACCACGAAGGCATGCTCAGAAGGCGGGAGAGGGTGACATAGTTAATATTTTGGTTTGGTAAAATTTTTTATCACCGTTAAGGTTCACTAATTTTTAATTATTTTTATTTTTATGTTAGACGTAATGGTGTTTAAGCTTAGTTGTTTGGCTAATTTTAAATTGCTTTAATTTTTCCTATCTGTAAAATTTATGAATCTCTAGTTTTTGGCTCAGCTGGTATTTTTGAAATTACCAACAAACAATATAAAGTTTCTTAAAATTCATGTTTCTTTCTGCTTTCTAGGTTATTAAAGAGAAGAAAGATTATTTGAAGAAAAATAGCACCATTATTTCTACTGACAAAACGGGAAATTTAAGGAAAAAGGCATTTCTGGAGCTTCTTTTAGAGCATCATTTAGAAGATGAAATGTTAACTGAAGAAGACATACGTGAGGAAGTAGATACTTTTATGTTTGAGGTACTTAAACGAGGAAATACTGTATAGTAACTGTTATAATTGTTTTGTGCTTGGTAGATATTCATGATAACACTTGTAAACTATTTCAATTTTATTTCCGTTTATAAAAATAACTTTCATATCAGTTTTAATCCGTCTCACGTGATCTCATAATGGATGACTCGTATTTGATAAGGAGCGACCCAGGTATCTATTTATGATAAGAACAAGAATTTTAATGTCTTTATCCTTTCCGGAATGCTAAACAATTAAATTTCCCGTACTTAATCAATTGCATTTTGAACTGATTTTAGCTAAGGGTTTTTCCAGTTACACATAAATTAAGAAAAGTTTATAATTATATCGTTATTTATATAATAATCTGATAAGGAAGTAAAGAAATAATGCAAAATAAATGTAAGGGGGGGGAACGAAGAATCCAAAACGTTTTCAGAAGATATAATGTTATACACAAATCGCTTGCAATGTTTTAAAGAAAATTTTAATGTTCGCTTCCAACACATTGAGTATTTAAATGTGCCAGCATACCTCAAAGAACCGTTGGACTGACATACACAATTGTTTCCAAAAATTAAGGAAAAATCACAAAAATAGAGATTACTCGTCCCAGAATAAGCCAATCTGTATAAAATATGACTTGCCAAATAAGAGTTGTTGAGTAAAATTGCAGTATTCAAATTAGTGGTGCTGCAATCGGAATGTGTCATGTGCGAGGAACGTAAAATTACATTTTTGAAATAAAGCCTGTAAATTTCGATGGGATGCTGAGATAAAAACTGGGATAGCGAATTCGTAACAATGACCTCCAGGCATCATTTACCCGAAGAACTGCAATGGAGGGCTATTGGGAGACTAGTGGCAAGGCAAAGTTAGACAAAAATAGCCAGATGGCTAAATATGAAGTTTTCTGCGGTTCGACTTTGGCAACAATTTCTAACCATAGATTTGACATCCAAGAGGTTCAGCCAAGGAAGACCAACCATTACGACGAGGGCCGTTGACCAATATTTTTTATGTTATTCGCACGAAGGAATATAACCGCATCTACGACTGAACTTAGATCTTCCCTTGCTGCAGCTACTAGAAGGTTGGTGTCAACGTCAACTGGGTGTAGAAGGCTTCACGAAGGAGGTCCTGTACGCGAGGCGATCAACTATTTGTAGCCACTCACGTCACGTCATAGAATGGAACGTTTGAGGTGGGCACGTCAACATATCTACTGGAGGGCTGATCAGTGGAGGGTTGTTCTCTTTATAGATGAATTCATTGCCTCTAAAGTAGATATTATTTGATTTGGAGAGAACATGGAACCCATTAATCATCCATCAAACATCCGTGAAAGAGATGCATAAGGAGGAGGCAATGTCTTTGCGGTTCGGGGCGATATGTCTTGGGTGGATATACAGAACTACACGTTTTTCCATGTGGAATCGTGAACGCTCAGTCCTATAGAGATGACCTCCTTGATGCTTATGTGCCCTTTTATGGCAGAACACTAGGAGTTGATTTCCTGCTACAAGACGACAACGCTAGACCGCACAGGGCTTGCATCGTGAATGATTATCTTCAGCAGAAACAATTCAGCGCATGAAGTGGCCAGGTTTATCACCATACCTGAATCCTACCGAGCATATTTGTGATGCTTTAGAAAGACGCATAGCTGCTTTCATTCTTCCTCTTCAGTCCCTTGTCATGCCTGCAACTGTTCTGCAAGAGGAATGGCTTTCACTTCCTACGGAACTGATAGACCGTATAATTGACCAGCATGACAGATCGATCAATATATGTGTTGTATTCCTTCTAGGGGAGATCAAACTCCATATCGAAATTTATTTTCCTATACCAAATTGACACATCCGATTTGTTCAATTTACATATATGCTAATTTCTGTAACACAATCGTCTAGTAATTCCTTTTCATGTAATTATATACCTTACTATGTATTGTACACTATGATTCAGTTTCATTTAATTCTACACGTAACTTTTTGAGTAATTATCATTTTTAGTCCAGAGGGATTTGAATCCCGAAGGACTATTAGTTTCGTTTTGGCATTTTGCGTCGGACGGATAAATGTCGGTTCACTTTTCAAACTGTTGCCATAAAATGTTAGAGTCCTGCATTATATCTGAAGAAATTAAATAATGAAAATCTGCGTAAATGTATGTATATTTCTCACATTGTCATAAAATAACGGTACATGAGAGTCATCGGAATTTTGAATAACGTAATCCTCCAACGAATATGAGCATGTGGAAGACCAAATTTGAAATTTGAAATTGTTTCATGATCGATTTCCTATTTTTTTAAAACTTTGACGAATTTTGATTAACAAACTCAAGGATTTCAAAGCGAGCAATGGCAACGTTGTGCAGAAAAAACATTTTTATCTCCAGCGCGTGAGTCTCTGTATCGGAAATTCTAAAGATATGCTCGTTTTAAAACTATTTTGCGATATTGCTATTGCCACTGGATCTTATGGTTTAAGTGGCGAGGAAATGATATTTAATAAAGAAAGGTAACACACAAAATGTTATAAAACGCCCCTTTGGAAGTAATTTAAAATCTGAAACATTTCAGATTTTTTTTTTGTGATTTTCCTTAATTAATAATAGCCAGTGTATTTGTTTTTGTTATTATGATGAATGTATAGCTAATTGCACTGAACGAGGATGTTCAAGCACAAGTATTATTCAAAACGCATTAAGTTAATATACTACGGAAAAGAAGAACTCGTTATTATGGAAAAGCGAAACTGCTACTAGGGAAACTAGGTTGAATATTTGCTACTAGGTTGAATATTTTTTGAACGAGGAAATTTAAGAATTCAGTTATTTATGAAAAATATTAAATGAATTTTATCAGTATATCAAGCGTAGACATCACGTTAATTAAAATCGAAATTTTGTGCAATTAGAATTTGTGATCTTGTTTCTAAAAACTAGATTATATTTGTAAAATTAGGAATACTAATAATACAAAAATAATGCAACATAATTCTAATAAACCATTTTGTTCAAAGCTTTTGATCTTATTTTTAGTATAACTATTTCAGTTATATATACTCAATTATTTGTATTATGATTGTTGTATGCTGCATATTATAGAGAAAAAATGTAGGGAAGTCGATGAAGAAAACTATTGTTTTTAAAATGATCGATCTTATAGGCTAATTCGGTTTAAAAATGAGATAATTTGCAACTTTTGTTCGTTAATTTGTGTGCCTGAAAAACCAGTTAGTTTTAAAACACGTTTTGTAAAAAACAATGTGTTATTAAGTTTATTCCGACAGTATCTTCTTAAGTAGGTTTTCTGCCTTTTATTAAATTGTCTCCTAAAAAAAGTAAGCATTAAAATACACGTACTAGTAAATGTTAGAATATTGGAATATGAGAAGCCACACAAAGGCTATCAGTTGAGGAAGAGATGGCTTCGTGGAGGATTTTCTATGGAAAATTGGCTTGTAATCGTGTTACACATGGGGATAACTATGAAAACAACAAACTAACATAGTGTGAGGTTACACACTATTTAGACTATGCCCGTTTCACGAACCTCGCATTGTTTGAAAACAATTGCCCTTGGAATCGCAAAAAGTTTAAACTTTTAATGTTTTTGAAATAAACAGAGATCCTTGCTAATTAAAGTGTCCGATGGAAAAAAGAATCAAACTAAAAGTTTTAACATTATTTTCTTCATTACTTATGAAGGAAATTTTATGATTGTATAGCTACTAGTCATAATTATTATTAGGTTTTACAGAATATTAAGTATGCTGTGAAACTTAAATATTTTACTCCCCGCGAGAAAGAATGAAATCAAAGGAAAAGGACTATAAGTGAATTATCATCTTATAAAAATGTCAATTAGGAGCTCGTACGCAATAGTGGCAAGAACCGCTGCTTCTGCTTAACGGATACAAGAAACACAATTGGATTATGTAGATCTAAAACATATGTTTTCTAGTGCTCCAACGTATTAATTATGTAAGTTTTATAAACGCAAATACAGGGGTTGGACAAAAATATGGAAACACCTTTAAAAAAACATGCTTCTTTGCTTAATGTGGTGTAGGAAACCCGTTGGCATCCAAAACAGCTTGCAGTCTTCTCGGAATGGATAAATACAGTTCCTGTATGTTTGCCAAGGGAATATTATACCATTCTTCCTGCAAAACGGTGGCAAGTTCAGATAACGATGTTGGCGGTGGATAACGAGAACGCACTTTCCGTTCCAATGTAGACCACAAAGGTTCGATAATATTCAGGTCTGGTGACTGTGGTGGCCAGGAGAGATGGGACAACTCATCCTCGCGCTCAGAAAACCAGTCCTGGACAATGTGAGCCGTGTGAACAGGGGCTTTGTCGTCTTGGAAGACACCATCACCATCGGGGAACAAAGTTTGTACCATGGGATGAACTTGATCGGCCAAAATGTTCACATAAGTCTTGGCAGTCATGTGCCCATGGGGCTAGCAGAGAACCACGATATGGCTGCTCAAAACATAACAGAACCCCCGCCATGTTTCACTCTTGGCAACAAGCAGTCTGTATTATAGGCTTGAGATGGCGTTCTCCAGACGTAAACTCGGCCAGAAGTGGGAAACAATGCGAAAGAAGACTCGTCAGACCATATTACTCGCTTCCACTGCTCTATAGTCCAGGCGTTATGACTTAAACACCACCTTTTCCTGTTACGGGCATTAGCATCACTGATGAGTGGCTTCTCAATTGCAGCACGGCCAGCAATTCCCTGTTTATGAAGCTCCCTTGTAATTGTTTTGGTACTCACAGGGTTCGGTAACACAACATTCATTTCAGCAGTAACTTTTGCAGCTGTGGTCTTCTTATTTTTCGTCACAATTGCCCTTAATGATCGTCTGTCACGATCACTCAGAACACACTTTCGTCCGCGCTGTGATTTAGCAGATGATGTTTTTCCGCTTTTCAAATATGCGGAATAAATCTTCGATACAGTACCTCTTGAAACACTAAACACCTCGGCTACCTTGCTTACGAAAGCACCTACCATACGTGCTCCAACAATTTGCCCACGTTCGAAGTCTGTTAACTCTGACATAATGCAATGACAACCTCACATAACAATACTCCGACAACAACTGAACTGTTTAGCACATTTACGAAGTTGTATAGGTGGCGTCAGTAGTCAAAAACGCCAGCGCCACCTACATATTTCATTAAAATCAATCTTTCTTTTCAAACATGCATTTCACAAGGTGTTTCCATATTTCTGTCCATCCACTGTATATTCGTCTGATCTCATTTTTCAATTAAAGACCAAGTTTTTAATCTATCTTGCCCTATTGTTGCTGCTTGCAATAAATTTTAACACAAAGTATTAGGAAATTTGTCCCTCAGAATTGTACAATTCTTTTCTATTCTGTATAAATTGAATGAATATAACTACTAATGAATATAACTTAAATAATACAGTATAACTTAAATAATACAGTATAACTGAATGAATATAATATTGACCACTGGCATTTATAATAATGCCAGTGTCATTTATGTATCAATTAAACGATCTTTTCTCATTTATGTATCAATTAAACGATCACTAAGAAAAGCATAAAAATGAATCTTTATAGAATCTTTATACACTATATTTTAGTGTAAGATAAAATTATTTAGTTTATTTCATTCATTTCAATCAATTTTATGCACTAAAACATACTACCATATTTTATATATTAAATAAAAAATGTCAAAAAATGCATAGATTTTTTAAATTTAAATTTTAACTAGTAATTTTAAATGAATAAAATCTTGGTTATGGGTATTTTGAACATTTGTTTATTTCGTGTTATGATAGTAAGACTTATTTCTGCTTAGAAAAGACATCGTTTGTTGTGGGAGACAATTTTATAATTCGTAAATGTTACTACAAAAAATAAAAGAAGAAAAAGCTAATCTTTTTTTTCTTTTTTTTTTTTGTTTTTTTGCAGGGTCATGATACAACAGCAATAGGCATAAGCTGGACTCTGTACAATTTAGGTTTATATCCAGATATTCAAGAGAAAGTATTTGAAGAACTAGATACTATATTCCAAGGTGACAACGAGCGAGCTATCACTTCAGAAGATCTCAAAAACATGAAATATACTGAATGCGTTCTCAAGGTTTTGATTTCATACTTTAATATTTTCTGATTATCCGTATGTAAAACTGAAACTTTCCAATTATAATTCATTATAATTCTTCTTCATTTATGCTATTTACAAAATTATTGGTTTGAATTAAACTAACACACAGAGTAACGATTATTAGAGGTGCTAAGGACACAAGAATTAGGGTAATATTTATAAATCTGCAAGTTTAAATATAGAACATACTTCTTGAGCTGCAGAAGTGCAATTAACGAAAGAGAAGGCTTTTCTCAGGAGATAACAATGAATCGAAGAAAGACAAGCTATTGACACTATCTGCTGATTAAAAAGAAAACCAACCATGAAGGAATGTCCTTTAAAACTGAGAGTAAAGACAGATTGGAATTAGGATAGTTAACTAGATCTAAAAAATTTTTATGAATTTAAAACGCCTCCAGAAAATCTAATTCACCAACGAAAATTGTTTCAACAATTTTGTATTCAGGCAAACAGAAAATGCGATTTATCGGACCAACAGTGATGGGCAACAGTTGATCTATGTGCATCATTTTCCCTAACATACGCCTCAAGTTCCTTAGCGAGAAATTTTAAAGCTCTTATAGTGTGACCAACGTAAATTAAACCACAATGGCAAGGACCAAAAATTCATATTGAGATTTATATTATATACCCCAGAAATTCATATTGAGATTGTAGTCTTAAGTATGGAACTGTGGAACTGCAAATTTTATTGATAGAAGACAAAAAGAATCGAAAATTGAATTTCTGTAAAAATGCTTTCAATTTTATAGCTAATCGATGGAAAGAAACGAATGACAACAGAATAATCTCTTCAAAAGATGGAGTGTTTTTTAAAGTGTTGAGACGAGAATGTTTTATAGTTCTTGATCAAGAACCAACTTCGGGAAGCAAACTTGAAGTGCTCAGGAGACGAATGAATAAAATGCAGCTAACTTCTGTCTAAACGAATGACATGATTTGAAGTGTGTTGAAAGGCAAACAGACGAAAGATTACGGTATACAGTAGTGCGGAACTTGGATATGTTGTGTGTGACTAAGATGTTGAAGAACCGAGGTGAATCGGAATTCTCAAGTTTATAAATTAACTGAATAGCACGATCATTGGAATTCATTATTGAAAGAACTTTATTTAAATCATCTTTATTACAGTCAAATAAAGTAAAGGTGTCGTCAATGAAGCGGAATCATAGAGGGATGTTTAAAATTTTAAATAATTTGTGTTCATAAGTGTATTCAAAGTAAGTGTTTGTTTCAGACAAAGTGAAAGACCCTTTCGACCCACTTACAAATACCATTTATCTCAGTTGTTGCGAAGTGTGTCAGATTATACGCTGTATTCAAAATTCATAAAAATCGTATTCTCTTCCGCCCTATTGCATCAAATTTAAGCACTGCCTCGTATCCGTTAGCTAAATATTTAGTTTCTAGATTTTCGGTTTTGCTAGTGAATAGCACATAATGCAGATTTCAACAGATTTTATAAATAAATTTAGAAACATTTCTCCTAGAAATTTTATCACTGTTTCTTTTGATTTGAAGTCACTACTCACCAGTGTTCTAGTGGAAGGTGTGATTAAATGTCTAGAAACTAGACTTCGTGAGTTTCATTTCTCATGTATTAAAAATGATCAGTTAATTTCGCTTATTCAACTTCGCTTGAATCAAACATATTATATTTTTTGAATAAGTATTATAACCAGACAGAGGGATTAGAAGTCCTCTTAGTCCTATCCTTGATGATATCTTCATGCATTATTATCAACCCAAATTACTTGAAAATTTGAGCTTCTCTGTGAGATTCCTCTGCGCTGACGATAAATTTCTCCTGCTTGGAGTTCGTAAGGATGATTAATAAAGTTCTTTCAATAATGAATTTCACTAACCCTGCTTTTCAGCTGACTTCTGAATTTGAGACAACCGATTCACTTAGGTTCCTCAGTATCTTGGTCATGCGTAACATATTTAACGACCGTGCTGCTGTATACCGTAAATTTTCATCTTTTTGCGTTCCATCAACTTAAAATTATGTCATTTGACTGAATAGAAGTTAGCTTCATTTTATTCCTTCTTTTTACGTGTGCATTTACCCCACCAGATCGGCTCGTAATTAAGAAGTAAAAGCATTTGCACAGACTTTTCGCCTAATATTATTGACCAAGAGGTTAAAAAATTCTCATCTCAACATATCAAAAGGTACTTTATCGTTTTAGGAGATAATGAAAATTCTGTTATCATTCGTTTCTTTCTATCTATTAGCTAAAATCTACACGCATGTTACAGAAATTTAACATTCGGGTCGTTTTTCTTCTATCAGTAAAATTCCCAGTTTCATACTTAAGGTACCTGGCTATTAACTGTTGGGGTATATACAGGATTCCTTGCCATTGTGGTTTAATTCATTTAACTAAAGGAGCCTTAAAATTTCGCGCTAAGGTATATGAGGCAAATGTTAAGGAAAACGAAACGTATAAATCAAGTGTTGGCAATACTATTGGTCAGAAAAACACAATTTTCATTTTTCTGTAGCCACAGTTATTGAAAAAATTCTTTCGTTGGTGAATTAAATTTCATAAAGGAGTTTCACTTTCGTAAATATATTTCAGTTCTAGTTAACTATTCTGATTCAGTCCGTTTTTACCCTCAGCGTTTATGAAAATTACTTCATAGTTGCTTTCCCTTTTCAGCAATAGATAGCGCCGATAGCTTGACTTCCTTCCTGTCATTGCTATCGCTTGAGCAGATCCTTCTCTTTCACCGTTTGCCCTTCTGCAGCTGAAGAAGGTTCCATACTTTAAACCTTTGAAACTAGTCCTAGAAATTCATGAATATTACGCTGACTACTGTCTTTGCACCTCCAATAAAATTATCGGTTATCTTAGCTCCATTCCGAATGTTGATGGGCAGTAGTCTTGTGCTGGATTTTTCTACGTGGCATTGGCCTGAGCCTTTGCAAGTAATAGGAGCAAATGATATCATAACCACGATGTCGAACATCGTGGTTATGATATCATTTGGCAATTGCTCTTGGATCAATCTGTATTAATACTACAAGTACAGGATATAATATTATTAGCAGCATAAGAGTGCACTTAGCCACAAAGCAACGTAAGTTACATAATAGTTTGAAGATAAGAGCATATTGTATTTGATGTGGCCTGGTCAGAATTCTGACTCAGGTTTTTGGAGAATTTATGGGGTGAATAAGGCTCAGACGAAACAGGTCAGAACTTAGGCTTACTTATATGACAAGAGAAAGCAGTGACACTACGGTGACAGTGGATGAATATTTCAAAGTGGTTTTCTAAAGCATGCTTCACAAGCGCAATCTACGTAACGCGAACTAATATTTTTTTCAACGTAAGGGATTTTTCTTACTTTTCTGTTCCAGACATCGGATAATTTCCAACCGTATAGCCTGTATCTTTATAGCAGGGATTCTTAACTACGGGGGAATTCCCACACCTAAAGAGGAATTTCGTAGTTCCAGGGGGTACGAGGTCAGCATTTTATTTAAGTGTTAAGTATTTAGTTTATGAATATAAAAAACTACTTATATTCAAGGTTTCGCATTTATCAACATTTTGTATACATTTTCTTGTTTAATTTATAAAACACTTCAAAAATAATCTAAATTAAAATAAATGTACATATATTTTTCAAGTTTCGGAAAAATAGGGGATGATGGACTAATAATGGTGAAAAGAGTGCAGGGGACATAAAAACATAGAATCCATGAACACTAGGGATTAGTTATATAGGATAGGGGAGAAAATGGGAAAATAGAAAGAAAGAAAAATAATGCAGTGTAGTTAAGTAATTAAAGTTTCTCTAACCATAGTTCTCTGCGGTTGTAATTATTAAGCAGAGCACCATAAATTTATCAAATTCGACGGACCTTTCAAAGAAAAAAGAAACATTGTGATGCCAAAGAATTTAGTTCTACAAATAAAGGGAAACCACGAGAGTATCTAAGATTTTATTCCTTAGAAAAGCGCAAAACATATCAAACTAAGACTGATCAAAAATTAAATTCGAAATTTTTGTTACTATTCATAAAAAAATTAGGTAGAAATTTAAATAAAATGTTAGAGGCAATCATTTCACAGTTTTAATATCATCTACTCAATGTCAATTTATCATTTATTCAATGTGTTCGATAATGTCGTTGATGTTTAAAATGAATTTCGACGTGAATTGTACTCGATATATTGTATACTTGGATTTCAAAAAGCAAAAGTTCTGTAGCGTCTTTTCATACGTGTTGCGTCATATTTCCTTTTTGAATAGTCATTTAGCAATATATTTTAGCTTTTTCACGACACCAAGCCAAAATCTGATGTGATTCTTGCATCAAGTGATCTTTGTGGGTAATAAACCTTGCCAAGACGTATCTTTAACCTCTCATTGTAGGACCTCGTCATTAGTCGTGTCGAAATTGTAGGATATAGATCCTAAACTTCCATGAATATTATATAATCCATTAAATAATTTTTCTGGTTAATTCTCGGAAATTACATAGTTATGTAGAGCACTATATCTCTAAATTGAAATAGAGAAGGTGCAAGAGATCAAAAACAAGAAATTTATGAATTATTTGCTTTGCAGTTTGAGAAAAATTTCAGAACAGTCACCAAATAGCATTTGCAGATGATTTGCTTGTTATTGTACAATGTAAGAACTTTAATGACGATAATGTCCATTCTCAGACTAATTTAAACTACATTTTTGATTGGTCAAAGCATTAAAAGCTTGAATGTAACGCTTCAAAATCGTTATGATGATACACAAAAACTCAAATATTGTCTTATAAGGTTTATTTAACTCTCGGGAGTGAGCCTATTGAAGAAGGTCAGTGGATTAAATATTTAGGAATTATTGCGGACAATAAATTGCAGTGGAAGCAACATATATCTTCTATTTCCAGTAGGAGTAAACATGACATAAAAAAGTTCTAGGTTTACTACAAATTTCAAAGAATTTGTGGAGTCAAA